AGAAATAAAATATTATTTTAAATTATGAAAAATATAAATTTATATATGGACATTGGATGTCATGATCTTAAGAATTCAAGAAGCTGTACTTAAAAGAAGAAAAATTTTGGATTATTTCTTTTAGAAAAATAGCAATCTCAACCTTTTTTTATTTAGATAATGAATTAATTGAAAAATATTATATTCAATTATTGACAATTTTTTGTCCACAATGAAAATGTTATGAGTTATCCATGCTAGCCCATAATCTTTATAGTTATAATTTATTCAGAAAAAATTAATAAATTGTTTCTTGTTTTAATGGTTTATTTAGGATTAAAAATTAGATTGAATCTATTTTGTAATGTATTTAAGATGATCCAAAATTCTTCCATTTCTCTTAACCAATTTATAATCAACACTCAACACTCCAATTCATATGAAGCCTTTGGTTACTATGGTCGGAATGTGACCTATGCTCGAAATACGAGCTATGTGCGAAATGCGCACTATGTACGAAATACGTACTATGGCCAGAATGTGACCTAGACTCGAAATGTGAACTATGTGCGAAATGCGCACTATGTACGAAATACGTACTATGGTCAGAATGTGACCTAGACTTTAAATGCAAGCTATATGCGAAATGCGCACTATGTACGAAATACGTACTATGGTCGGAATACGACCTATGCTCGGAATGCGAGCTATGTTCGGAATGCAAACTAAGATCGAAACGCGATCTAAGTTGGAGTATGAGTAAAAGCAGGTTAATCTTCATCTAAATTTAAGTACTCGCAGAAGCAATTTTCACATTCTATATCAAGACGACCATCACTGTAAGTTTGATTTTTAATGGTTGTTTATTCCCTTTAAGTGGTTGAACTTTACAATTATATCATGAAATATTAAGGAATGAAGTGTATTCGACATTTATTTCTATTTTTAGTCTTTGCATTAGAAATATTTTTCTAATTTAAGACTTGGTAGTTGTGGTATGTGCATAGAGAATAGGTCTGGTTGGGCTCGGATCCAATTGAATGAGTAAAGTGGGTCAAGATAAACCTATTTGAGGGAGATGAACTCGATTGATACTTAAGGGGCTCGACACGTAAATAATAAAGGGAAATTTGATTATAAAAGGGGAAGGGGAAAAACCTAGAGTGAGGGTTCTTACTCCTGAAGAGAACAAAATCCTTCGTAGCTACATTTAAGTAAAATAGTTTAGTGTTGAATATAGTATGGATGCCTGAAGCAAATGTAAGTATATGGAGTTTTACAACTGCATTTGCATTCCGCCAATGGAATTTCAACATTTGCAACTTTAAGGTATTTGTAACTTTAAATTGCAATTTTTGTCCCTAGTTAAAGAACATAGATCAAATCGCAGATCAGGAATTAAAAGAGACTAAATTATAGTTTAGCCTTTACTATTTTATTTTATTTTCCTACTTTAATACATTAAATTATTTTTTAATAATATCTTAAATGAAATATTTGAATACTATGAATATGATGGTTGATAGTAGGTAAGTATTTTTTTTATAAATGTTAAAATATGTATTATGATAATTATTATTTAAACTCAATATCAATTTTGCACTTTTTTAATTAAAGTTATATTTTATGTTATTGAATAGGAAATATTATATAACTAATATTAAAAATATCACTTTTATAATGAAATGGGCATTTGGTCTAGTGGTATGATTCTCGCTTAGGGTGCGAGAGGTCCCGAGTTCAATTCTCGGAATGCCCCATCATTTTAGTTCTTTTTCCAATTGCATGGTAGCTGTGTGTTCCACTATCTTTTCTTCCTTTTTATATCCTTCATAGTGGTTTAGTGAGGTTGATTTAGTGGGAAAATGTCACTCTGAGGCATCACATTACTGCCACATGAAAATAACAAAAAACACTATCCACTCTTCACTGTGTGAATCCTTCTACATGCTTCATATACATACAAATGATACAAAGAAGAGTAAAAAAGACCAGTTGAAAAATGCTTCAGCTATAAAATATCAATAGGCCTCAAACATGCCATTTTCGGTCCAAGATACTTGGGCTGGCACCACCTTCTGTGCAATCACTAGACTCAACATCTGTTTCACATGTTGCCTCTTCTTCATCAACTGTATTTGATTCTGAAACTTGTTTCTCAACTGAACGGTCAATGTCCCTCCCTTTTGGATCAATGCTAAGAAAATCAGTCAAGGATTTCTTCACCCCTGCCCCTCTTTGGGGGAGGTTGTTGTCATCGTTGAGTGGAGACTTCCCTCCCTTGGAATGACTAATCCCATGTGATGGAGAAAGGGTTGGCGTGCCAACAGCCGATTTGTAGGGGGTGCTTGGGACAGGTATTGTGTATGGAACTGACATACTCTGCTTGTGGGTTCCTACACCAACTTTTGAGAGAGAAGAGATTTGATCTGAATGTTTGGTCAAGTCATCTACATAGAGCACATCATCAATCCGTGCTACCATGTTAAATGCCAAACTCTCCAGTACTCTAGAGTAGCTCTCCAAAATGGCTTTTCCAACATCCTGGACAACAAAAAATTTGAAGGACTGAGATAAAGGATTCAAGGTCTAAAACTTTCAAGAAACAAAGGACAAAGAACTTTATTGTTAAAGCATAGAAATTATGAATCTAAACCTTGTTGTATTGGATTTTGCTCATATCCAAGGTTGTTTGAGGCAGACCAGGAAAACGCTGCTTCAAGGAAAGCAAAAGGCTTTCTGCTCTCTCTGCAAACAGATCCCTCTTGTCTGCATCAACCATCAGATCCTTGACCATTTCCCATGATGATCTTGAGCTAGACCTGGCACTGATGGCAGGCTTGGAGTTGGTCTTTTTGCGCCAAATATACATGGAAGCCTCGGCTCGGTTCGCAATCTCTATAGCTTGATGCTCAGAAGACAAATCAAGACAAGCTAGCAAGCATTCAGGAGAGAAATGATCTGATGTGATATAACGATGAATGACATCTCCCAGACTTACTCTTGCAGTCTGCAAGGTTGTTTGGATTAGCAATTTGAGCATTATGTCACTTGGGCTCTTGATGTTTGAAAATTTTAAATAGATAGAGATCATTATTCTTTGATATCATAATACCTTTGGAAGAGATTCCAAGTAGGACTCAGGAATGTCCATTTCTGCTATAGTGATGCTGTTAATGGCCATTGCAGCCTTTAATATTTGGTTTGTGGAATCACGTTTGTGCTGCAAGTGCTTCCTTGAGTTTTCATGGAGGCCACAAGGAGGGACTCTCGGTACAGGAAGCCACCATTTCTCCTCCTGCCGCTGAAGTGCTTGTCGAAAAGAAGATGGACCATCAACATCTGGAGCTAGAACCCCTTGGTCTACATACCAGAACTCAGTATTGACAAAACTATCTAGAATTTCCTGTCAAAATACCAAAATTTAGAACGAACTACTTCTTAAAACTGGACTAGTGTTGCATTATTCAACAATGCCGTAAAACTTACAAGAAGCATGTTATCTAATTTGCGCAGAGCAGGTAGATTGACATAAAGGTCTGAGCGCGGTCGACAAGTCATGACCTGATTCATATTTCATACACATTGTTAACTATCAAGTAAAATATTTATCTGTCCCTCTATCATGAAGCAATGTTAACCCATAAAGAAGCAGAGTAAGAACGGAGAAAAAATCAGATTGTTCTGTCCCATCACACAAAAATCCTTCACTTTGTATAGTCAAAGTCAAATAAAGGATTACAATTAAATTCATTCCAAATATCTGTTTATAGAATCATCTGATATATGTTGAAATGAACTGAAATATACGGTTAATAGAAATAAACTGAAGTTAGACCCTGCACAAAGCAACTTTGAGGATGATATGTCGCAGCATCCAGTGTAATAACATGACTAACCTACAGTTGCATTCAACGCATTTTAAACACATCTATGTTTTAAAATTTACCTAGATAAAGTAAATTACATTACCAATTTGCATTTTATCTTTCAACTTCAATTTCAGGCCACACTGAGTCATTTTGCAGTGTACCTAGTACCTACTAGCATAACTTAATATGAAGCTTTCACATTCAATTTACAGTCTATAATTTACATACAGCACAATTTCAAATTTTATGATGACCAAGCATCGGGTCATTCATAAACCCTTTGGGAAAGGAAAGAGGGAATATTTATCTGCATTTCTAGACTTTCAACAGCCAAATATGAGTTATTTTAAGGCTGATTGGGTAAACTAAGTGTACCTTCATAGTAAAAGAATACACCAAAAAACCTGCATAAGTGCAAAAAAAAAAAAAAAAGTTATTTTGTACCTCAAGCTTGCTTCCATCTGGAAATGTCTGCCAATTAGGTGTCAATTCAACTATATGATCACTGACAGAAAGAAACCACTCTATCTCTCTTCGCCACATCGCTTTCTTCTCTGAACGCAGGGGCTCTAATCTCCAAAGTTGCCCAAAGAGAGTAGCTATATATTCAACCAGCCATCACAATCAGAGGCAAGAATGGTAGCAGTCAATAAATCACCATGGCCATCAGTTAATAATAAACAAAAAAACAAATGAAAACGCATTAACAATTTACTTTAAACGTGCGTTTCGCTTACCACTTAGATTTGTTATGGCATTTGAGATGGCCAAGGCTGTAGGGACCCCATTTCCACAACCTGACATATCTTCTCCAAGTAACAATTTTGCAAACCTCTCCTTCATCATCTCAATCTCTACAAGTGAGAATCAACACCAAATCATAAAATATAGAACTTATCATAGTGAAATCATAGATATTAAATTTAAAGGGTAAAATGCATTTTAGGTCTCTCAAGATATGGTCAAATTTGATTTTAGCCTCTACATTTCAAAAATGATAGTTTATGTTCTTGTATTTTTTTTTTAAATGTGCTGAATTGCATTCTTAGTAATAAAAATGGAGTATAGGGTCATGAAAAAAGTCTATCACGTTTCAATAATACGAAGAACGAAACTATAGGGTTCAAAATATAGAAATTAAAATCAATTTTAACCAGATCTTGATAGTCCTAAAGTACATTTTACACAAATAAGGAGACTTTGTGCATAAAACTCTCGTTGAATACCTGGTAAGGCTGAAACTTGTTTCTTAAACGCCTTATTCTCCAAAACCAAGTGCTTCTTATCACCATATTCACTACCGTGAGGACTGGCACAATCTGATGTAGCAATTTCCTGAACCTTCCATCCCACCGAAGGTGGTGAAGATGAGTCCTCAGTGCTACTCCTACTGTGATCCTCATGAGTGGTCTCAGATGACAGAAAATCTGAGCTGAAACTGCTCTCACGACCCTTTTCATCAATCAAATCAGCAAAAGTTTCTCTCTTACCGCCATTTTCACTTCCTCTACTTTCCTCAATAACCTCACTCTTCTCAGCCAAACTCAAACTCTCCATTGCAGCAGCTTTCCCTTCAACAAAAGCAGATGAAGAAGAAGAAGCATAGAGGACAGAGGTGTTAATCACCATGCCATGGTACTGAATCCTCCTCAAGCAAAACCCTTGTGAGAGTTGAACTCTGAAACACAAACTTCTAAGAGATTTAGACACCCAGAAGACCAGAATGGAAAACGGGTTAGGATTAGTGGACCTTCTGAGCCTCACCAAAGGGGCACAATGCTTCTGATGTTGTTGTTGGGTTTGTTTTTGTTCTCTCACTTCTTGTTGGGTGAAAGTACTATCCATAAGTTGTTAACATAAAACCATGTCTTGTGTCTGGCGGTGAAGTGAAGAGAGAGAAAGAGTCTGTGCACAAATTGTGGGCTACCTCTGATTGCTTACTTATATGTGAAGGGTGAACCTAGGAATCATTACTATGGTTTTGTCCCAAACACTTGTTGTGAGATACGAGACAAAAATCCTTGTTCACCTCATGTCATAGATTTTGTGTGAAATGTTAAGAAGTAGAAATAATAGCATAATTTATAGGTTAAAAATTTCATTAGAAACATGAAAAAATCTGGTTGTGCAATTGTACTATGCTCTCTTCATGCATGGACCATTTATGCAAGTTACCCAACAGTAATAATATTCCTCTGTGTCTCTCTCTACTGATGTGACATGATTCTCAGGTTCACCATACCCACCTTACAGCTAGCTGACAAAATAAAAATAAAAGTAAAAATTATATTATTATTGGCGCTGCTACTAGAGTAAATTACATGAATATTTCTAGGGTCGTAAGAGTGTACGTGAATACATCTATAAAGGTGTAAGAGAGAAATTATAACTCTCAAAACAACATTCCTGTATCCATAAAAGTGTGTGAACTGCACTAAAAGAAAATGATACTATTTCTTAAAAAGATAAATTAAAAAATTATACACAAAACAAAGCCTAAATCAACATAAAATGCGTAAAACCTATGTATGAAAAACTAGTTGTGTGTGATTCAGATTTGGAATTATTCAAATTCTTTTCCGGAGCTTCTTTACTACATATAAAGAGGGATAATGGGAAACTGAGTATAAAAAAATAACTGAATTTAATCTGAGGACTAGTCAATCACAAACATTAATTAACTAAGGTTTAGTTTTAGTTTACTATTCCACATTTGTTAAGCTTTTGCTTAAAGTATCCAAAATCAAAAGGTATCAATTAATGTCAATGTTTTCAAAAATATAATAAAGAAAATGTCATGGGAAATCGTGTAAGCCACGGATCTGGCTATGATCCTACCAAATTTGTGCTTCATGGTGTTCATAACCCTTAACTAATTCATTAATTACCCCTAAAAAAACCTAAAACATTAACTAATTTAGGGTTCCATAGTAGTTAATTAGTCATCCTCACTTTGAAATTAGTAACTACTATTGCAGATTAGGGTAATGTCTTCACTATGCCTACGCTCCACCATGCACTCCTTCGTTCAATAAAGCCACTAAAAAAACTGTGCCCTGAAACCATACGTTTGGACACTAGGTTCGGTAATAAAAGGGTTGTTCAATGAAGTGTGAATATGCAATTAAGGAAATTGGATTCTCTTCACGCATTGTTAAAAATAAAAGCAGAAAAATTTGAAATTGTTTGGCTCTTAATTGCAAGAATGTGTAAATGGTAGCAATGGATAGGAAAGTTTGAGTCTTCAAATGCCTCACATAACTTGGGAATTCCAAGGATTAGAAAGTCATTAGCAAAAGTGATGCAAAACCCTTAAAGCATTGCTTCTAAAAATTGTGGGGCTAGTTTGGTAATTCAATACATAGTAATACTATTATTTTGTACTTTTCTCTCTTTATCTTCTTGATTTTTCTCTAGGTGGAAATCTTTTCTCTCTTTTTTTTTTTTTCCTATGCCATCCACGTTACGGCACAAATGAACAGTATTAGATATTTGGATTATGGAATTGACATAATTGTAAACAGAAGAAATGTACGGTGTATGACCAATACTTTGTCGTGCTTCTAAAGAATATTAAAAGAAAAACAATGAAATCATGCAACACGCAAGAGGGCATAAACTGAATTAATAAAAAACATTAATGAATCCAAGTGAAAAGGACATAAGTTTATTGAGAGAGTTTGTAGTTGAGATCTAATCAAATCAAAATCCTTTATAGGATAATAATATCATTCAATTACATATTTTCTTACTTCCCTTCCAAGGCTTTTCCTAGTATCAAAACTGACATACATAATCTTCTAAATTCCTCATGATGCTGGTTGTTCCAACAGAATTTGCAAAGGAAAAAAGGAAACAGATGCCACCAACGGCTAGCAAACTACATTGATGTGGACCAAACGTTTGAAAACCTTGAGAGGGAACAACAAAACTTAAGCCTCAAGAATTTTGAGGTAGCACTAAAGCTACCCTTATTTACTTTCTTGCTTTTCCCTTTTGTACATTTTCCTTCTTTTATTTACAAGTTCCCAAAGTCATTTGTTTAGATTATTCCTTCTTTCAATTTGAACCCGATTCAATTCAAGTTTTGAATAAAGAGAAGAAGAGGGTTTTCATCTCTTGCTTCTTCTGCGTGCTTTTCGTTCTATTAAATATGCATAGACTCACTGGCGTGAAAAAGCATGAACAATTAAAGACAAAATGACTTTATTCTAGCTTTTGAAATTTGAATGTGAAAGAAAAAGTTATGAACCATAAAAGGTTGGATGATCATTCTTGTTGTGATGAAGATTCAAGAGATTCACCAACATGTAAGTCTCAACCTAATCTACGGAAATTGATGATGATAAATTTATGTCAAATGAAATAAAAATGAAAAAATACAACCACTTGTTGCTGAACCCTAAAGGCCCAAACTGTTAGGCCCATTGACAATATGGGATGGGAAAGGCCAGAGTAGAGTTCCTCGTAAAGGCCCAAATCTGTGTTGTGTTCTAACAAATATTAGTCTTGAAAAATAAAGTACTTATGATCACAAAATATCGTTCAAACTATTATTAGTAAATAATATCATTCCATTTTTGGAACCATGCACATGGCTTGGACATCACTTCAACTCACTTGGACGCATAAAAGACATTGACTCCTTCAAAATAATCACTTCATAAGGACCAAAACTCTCCAACCTTCTCTTAATAAATTAAGTTATAACTATCTCATTTGTGAAATGATTAAATTATAAAAATTGAGATTTATTTATATTTTTTTAAATACTAGGATTCAACTGTACGAAACGGAAATTGCATGATATTTTAGTAGATTTGATTAGGAAATTTGGTTGAGTTTCTTTAAGATCCTTCTTGAATTTAGTGGTTTATGGCGTTCAATCGTGTGGTATGGCTTACGTAAGCCCTTACATAATTTCTTGTACAATTGGTGACGGTGAAGGTTTCCCTCTTCCTAGTTTTCTAGATCCTTCTCGTCTTCAATGTCCACGCATTCATACGAAGCAGCAACCAATATTAATTGCGCGGCTCCATCCGAAGTCAATGGTAAACGCGTCTTCACTCTGTGCATGTTTCTAAATGTACTCAATTTACCATTTTCTCGTGATCTTTAACATCGCAACAAATTTATAACACTTAATAATTTTTACTAAAAATCATTAAAATTATATAAGTCTTTAACTCATCAATTAAAATTATTGATCCAAGTTATTTTAAAATTTTATAAGAGTTATCAATGTATCAAATTTATTTTTTCTATTATTTATTTTTTCTATTAATAAAAAAATATATATTTATAATGTTTAATAGTATCAAATAGAATAATAAATTTTAATATTTTATAAAAAGTATTAAAATACCTTATAAAAAATGATATTATATATAATTTAATCTATAATGTAATGAATATAATATGAGTATATATAGGTATAATAATATTCTCTATTTATTCACATTGATTAGTCTTGTGGCGTCTCTATAAAAGGAAAAGAACCAATGAATAATAGATCACAGACAAAAATACAAATAACGAGCTATAGTTGATTTGTATTGAGTGAAGGCTAATTAGAAGTGCTACAAACAAACAATGGCTACAAATCAGGAAGAGGTGCAGCTTCTGGGAGTTGTGGGAAGCCCGTTCGTGTGTAGGGTGCAGATTGCTCTCAAATTGAAGGGAGTTGAATACAAATTTTTGGAAGAAAATTTAGCCAACAAGAGTGATCTGCTTCTCAAATACAACCCAGTTCACAAGAAGGTTCCAGTTTTTGTTCACAACGAGAAGCCCATTGCAGAGTCTCTTGTGATTGTTGAGTACATTGATCAGACATGGAATAACAACCCCATCTTGCCTTCTGATCCTTACCAAAGAGCCTTGGCTCGTTTCTGGTCCAAATTCATCGATGACAAGGTAACCCATGTTTTCTTCTTTTCTTCCTTCGTTCTCATTTATCCCAAAAACATCACGTATTCATCATGTTGTAAATGTGAAATCTTGGAAATATATGTTGAAGAACCCAATAATGAACAGCCAAACATATTTTTTCTCTGATAATGTTGGTGATGCAATTAATGATTTGAAAGGTAAAATGATAGTTACATTTTGGTAGGATTTTCAATTTTTTTAACCATGATTGTTTGTATGAGACTGAAACTAAATTCGGTTTGTGCTAACGATTATATGAAATGATTACTAATGAATAATCTGGTTGTGAAATCAGGTTGTGGGTGCTGCATCGAAATCTGTTTTCACTGTTGATGAGAAAGAGCGTGAGAAGAATGTGCAAGAAACATTGGAGGGTCTGCAGTTTCTAGAGAATGAGATAAAGGAGAAGAAGTTCTTTGGAGGAGAGGAGATTGGGTTGGCAGATATTGCCGGTTCCTTCGTAGCATTTTGGATTCCAATTGTTCAAGAAATAGCAGGTTTGCAGTTATTCACCAGTGAGAAATTTCCTAATCTCTACAAATGGAGCCAAGAGTTCATCAACCACCCTGTTGTGAAGGAAGTTCTTCCTCCCAGGGAACCACTGTTTACCTTCTTCAAAGCCCGCTATGAAACCCTTACTGCCTCAAAATAGATTGATTTTCACGTCAAAATGTCTCTCTCATTCAGATATTGCTGTTTGAATTTCATGTCAAGTTGAATCTATATGTGATTTAATAACCTCGAATATCTCCCAGGGAAAACGATTCATAGGATCTTGTTTCCATTTAAGTTGATAGTGAAAAAATTCTTCTTTTCCATATAAATTTTGGAGTGGGATGTGTTTCTGAACTTCATTGAATCCTTCAATGCCAATAATTTCACGCCAAATTGATATTAATGTGGTGTTTGCTTAAGATATTTTTTTAAACTCTTCAGTATTTTTATGTTAAGATAATAAATTCTGTGATAAAAATGTTTTAAAATTATTCTCACGGATATTATTTTTAAAAAACTAATTTTGTTTAAAAAAAAAAACAACAACATGCGTTTTGTTTAAGATAAGTGACACATGTTATTGTTTTTGTGAATATTTTGTTTATAAATAACAAATTTTATTTTATAAAATAAATAAATTATTTATTTATGTTAGGTTGCTTAAGTCTATTTAACTCACAAAATTTCAGTCCAATACAATAAAGTAATTCAAAATTACAAAAAAAGCACACATTGAATAACAAAAAACATAGAAGTTTTGAAAATATTCCTATTTCCTCCATTGATTTCATCCTTCCCTTTTTTTTTGTTTTTCTTGTCATTCCTAGGCCTGATCGAGTGCAAACGAACTACAGTTCAACTTTTATTTTTTGTACTGGGCACGTGGGCTAAAGCCCATTATCCAACCAGATGAATTATAGAAAAAATGTTTCTTTTATAATTTAAAGAGTTAGACAAAATATATTAATATAATAAGGAACAAAATTTATAAGTGTTTTTTTCAGAATTTTGAGAAAAAATATAATAAGAATTCATCTAGTACTCCAAATTTAATTATTATCAAAGCCAATAAAAAATAGTGATAATAACGTTTGATTCACTTCTAACTTGACAATTTTATTTAAAATTTCTAATTTAATCATTTAAAAATTAATATCAATAATTCGTTTATGTATTACTAGTTTGGTTGTTAAAAAATTGAATTCCAATTACTGAAATAAAGATATTAACACTCCTATTTACAAATATTTATAAAACAATTGCATAATTATAGTTTTCTATTATATCTAAAAATGAATTAGAGCATAGGATAGCATCTTTTAATTTAAAAATAACAAATAATATAAACCTTTCTAACATAATAATAATAATAATACTTAGTCAATATTAAAAATACAATAAAAATGAAATTATAAAAAATATTAATAATGTTTTGTTGCAGGGGCTGATACAATTAAATTGTATATTCAATTGTTTTAAGTAAATGCATATAAATAATCATAATCTCACATACTTTCCCGCACATGTGTATAAGAATATTTTTTTGTAGGGAAGGTTTTCACACTGATTTATGGCTTATACTAAATTAAAAAATATTTCTACAAAACAAATAATATCACTAATTAATTTTAGAAATTCCTTGTTTGGATTTTATGATAATTTCAGTTAACATTATACATAAAGATATAAAGCAATTTATATCCATTTTTGTATAATTGATTTATCTTGCAACATGGTAGTCTTGTTGGTCCATATTTGCAGTTAGAATCTCCACAATAGGGATGGTTTCTCCGTTTTTATTCTATACCCTTCTCTTCCATTTATAAGCGTTAGTCAATTAATTAATTTGTTTTACAAAATATATTAGAAGTATTGAAGAGCATCAAATTCTATTAAATAATAGACTAAATAAATAGCATACAAGTTTTTCCATAACACATTAAGCTAGAAGAAAAAAGTTAAACATATATCTTTTTTTCTACATCTTAACAATACCATTTTTTAAATTAAAATATTCTATTATTTCATTAATATTTAATTTTAAACTAAATACATAAAAAAAAATTGGGTGTAAGTTGGGTGTTTATGAATAAAACTCGATCCAAGATTCTATGGGAAGTCAACTTTGGAAAATAATGATTAATAATTGACTGTGAAAAATACACAAAATTCACATCCCAAATTGATTTCAAGTAGTGATGTTAAAATGAATTACAATATGTAAGTAAATGTAACTCATTAAATTTTAAGTTAGATTGAATTATAAAATTAAATGTTTTAACTGTTAGATTAAAATAAATCTGGTTCATTTAATCCAGAAATCCAATACAATGGAATGGTTATAAAATTCAACTCTTGGTATTAATTAGTTATTTAAATATATATATATATATATATATATATATATATATATAAATTTAGTAAGATAATTAATCTACTTTTTCAAACTTGGTACCTTGAGTCAAGTTAAAAAAATTTAGACAGAAAGTAGATTAATTACAGTAGCGGAAGGTGATTAGACAGAAGGTAAAGTATCAAAAAGATGAAAAAGAAAAACAGTAGTGGTTTAATAAGTTGAACTAGATATTTACTTTTATTAATCAGCAGATTAACTTTGACTGACCTTGATATAGTTAAACTTAAATTATAAATAATTAATAATCAATTTTGTTTTTTTATTTTATTTTAAAAAACTTTAATCTTCATTTACTTTATTTTTATTAATTATTTAATAAAATAATTTACAAATTATTTTGTTATATTTATGAAGTTTTATATTGTCTATAAATAGAGATTAATTATAATTTAAATATTTTTTTTTCTTTTTTTAATTATCACAATGTCTTTTAAGGAAAAAAAAAATGACGATCGACGAGATTTCCAATAGACAATACATTTGACATTCGAACACATTTGACATTCGAAAGTAGAATTTAATCCTAACGGATGTTCATTTATAGAATGAGAGAGTTCCAATATATAAGATATGTCAACTTATATATATTCTTCAGTCCTCGAGTAAAAACTTATATTCTGATATATTTATCAAGTTTTACGTCACTTTAAAAATTAATATCAAAATTAATTTAAATACAACATTTTTTCTTAATCTATCGAAATATTTTTAAAGATAAAACCGTAATAAATAAGAAGAATTTTAAAATGAATGATATTTTTCAAACGCTCAATCCTTATTTGGAATATAATTTATTTTAAAAATTATCATCATCTAAAGTTTTTTTTTAATGAAGATTGTTTTCAACCACTAATATTATTTCGTAAGCAACTTATGAAAAGTGAAGAGCAACTAGGTGTGAAATCCTCAAGAAGAAGTAAAGTATAAAAAAGATGGAAAAAACAGTGGCGGAAGGTGATTAGACAGAAAGATGAAGGAAGAAGAGGACAATAAATAAGTGAGTGGTTGTGGAAGACGAGAAAAAGAAAAGAACAGAAAAATGAACAAGATAAAAAAAAATATAAACAGAAAAGTGACAGAACTCTCAGCAGCATAAATCACGCTTGTAATCCGTTTGACGGAGATAAGAAGGGAGAAAACGGGTTATTTCACTACGTTCTTCTCCATACAAAATGAAGTCGGGCTTGGTGGTTAGTTATACTTACAGTTAATAGATAGATTATAAATTTTAATCCGTCTTTTTAGAAGTAAATTAGTTTAATAAATTGTTTTTATATAAAAAAATTATATATATATATATATTTTTAAAATATATATTTAATTATATAAATATTTTTTAAATTTTTACTTATTAATTAATATTTTTATTAGATAAATATAAAAAATTATTATATTTATATATTAAAATAATTAATAATTTAAATTTAATTAATTAATTTTTATAATTTAAATTATAATATATTTAAATATCTTAATAATATAAAAAATGTATAATATTTTTAATTATAATTATTTTTATTTTAATATATAAATATTATTTTAAAGTAAATTAATAAAAAACATAAGTTGATAAATTAAAATGATTAATCTGTCCCGTCACTTTTTACAAGAGACCATCAAACCTAATAAGTTTTATTATCCCATAAATAAGTAAATATAAGAGATAAAAAGTAAAATAAAAATTTAACATATTTATTTAAAAATTAAAGAGAGAAAAAAATAAGAGAAAGAAATAGATATTAAAATTACAGTAAAATATATTAATAAAATCTATTTACTTTGTAATTTTATTTTTTCTATTTTTTTCATCAATTAAACTCAAATAATTCATTATTTTATTTTTCCTAGTTCGACTTTTTCACTCTCTCCCCTAAATCCTTCATATAAAAAAATCATAAAGATTTTTTAAAATATAAAAATGGAATAATAGATTAATTAATAATTATTAGTTTAGTTTTCTTCTACAATAAATGCTCAAAGTAGTGAAGGTAAACCTCCAATCTAGGTTTGCTCTGTTTACAAGAAATGGATGAAGCCCGATATATACTGTTAACATCTTATTAAATATTAAATTATATCATTTTTTTAATTTAAAAAAAATTAGTAGGATCTCAAGATGAAATTTATCATAAAATAAATATTAAATAAGAATTTGTATCTCATATAATAAGAAAGGATAAAAAACAAGAGAGTATATAATATCTCTAAGATTCGCATTATATATCTAAGAAACAAGTTTTTTATAACTAGTATGACGTGAATTGCTTTAAAAGAGTTCTATTAAAATATGTTTATATTATACTTACAGGACGACTTTATGGTAACAATTATTTAATTAAAATAAAATAAATGTTTTATTAAAAAACCAAATGTGATTGCATATGAACTCTTTTAATATTAAAATGACTATATTTTAAAGTAAAATAATTAATACGTGCCATATTCATAATTTTGGATCACTATTCATCTGAAACCATCCTTAGACTAATTCAAAAGGAAACTGCTTTTATGGATTTCTTATATGCACGAATTCATAAAGTATTTTCCATAGGAAAAAAAGACAAATGTCCTTTATTCAAAATTGTCTTTATTAAAATATTTTTAAAATTAAAACAAATTTCACTAACAATTCACCAATCTAATTTGCGATCCAGTTACCAGATACCATCCGATTTTAATAATGAATGATCAAACAAATAGTAGATCAAGAAATCAAACAAAGAATGGTTTGTATTGTTGAAGCAAATATGTTTGACTTATATGGCTTTCAAAATATCCCAAAGGGTGGATGGTGATAAATTCATTAATTTTTAAAATAATTTACAAACACTTTTATCCCATTAAATCATCACAATTATGTATAATAAATTTATTAATTTTAATATAAATATCTTAAAATCATAGTTTTACATTGTCGTTCAAATTACAAATTATTTTGAATGATAAATTCATTTTTATAATAATTATTTTATAAAAGTAATAATATAAAATTGTTTTATATTATCAACCATTAAACGTATGTTTTCTTGATTTTTCATATTTCCTTTTTCTAGGTTAAGTTCTATTTTACTCGGTACCAATATAGAATGACTTTTGAATTTTGTCATGTAGTGTGTCTATATATAATAATTAGTTGGAGAAGGTGAAGATGTCAAGATTCATTTACCAAAATAAGTTAAGTTGGTAGTTGTTTAGGTGAAGAGAAGTGAAGTGAAGTGCTGTAATGGCTGCAAAGGAGGAAGAGGTGACCCTTTTGGGAGTTGTGGGAAGCCCATTTCTGCACAGGGTTCAGATTGCTCTCAAGTTGAAGGGAATTGAATACAAATATTTAGAAGACGATTTGAACAACAAGAGTGATCTTCTCCTCAAGTATAACCCAGTTTACAAAATGATTCCCGTGCTTGTGCACAATGAGAAGCCAATATCAGAGTCCCTTGTGATTGTTGAGTACATCGATGACACATGGAAACACAACCCCATCTTGCCTTCTGATCCTTACCAAAGAGCCTTGGCTCGTTTCTGGGCCAAGTTCATTGATGATAAGGTGATTACTCTTGGATCTCTTCTTTTCATTATTTCCTTTTCCATGAACTATACCTCCTGTCAAATTTGCTTGCAGTCATAATAATAATGGATCAACTTGATTCAAGAACTGCCTTGAATTATTGTTTATGATCTGTGCATTTTATGTAATTTTATTAGAATGGATCGGTTGGAGGTGAATGAACTCATGTTGCTTAAAAAGTTAGAACATCTAATTTTGATTTTGTAAATGGAAGAACTGATGGGAAAAAACATATGATCTGAGCACTGAGTACTTTAAGATGAAAATTAGTCTTAAAAATAGACTGGAAAAATTCATGGTGATCATAATTTGGTTTGAATTGATTATTTACTAACATATAGTGATTTAATTTTGACGTCAGTGTGTGGCTCCAGCATGGAAATCTGCCTTCATAGTTGATGAGAAAGAGAAAGAGAAGGCTGCAGAAGAGTTATTTGAGGCTCTTCAGTTTCTTGAGAATGAGCTGAAGGGGAAGTTTTTTGCTGGGGATGAGATTGGCTTTGTGGACATTGCTGCAGTGCTCATACCTATAGTTCAAGAGGTAGCAGGGCTGCAATTGTTCACAAGTGAAAGATTTCCAAAGCTGTTCCAATGGAGCCAAGACTTTCACAACCATCCACTTGTCAACCCAGTTCTGCCTCCTAGAGACCAACTTTTTGCCTATTTCAAGGCTCGGGCTCAAAGCTTTGCTGCTAAAAGAAAAAATTAGTGTATTATAGTGAGTTTGAATTCCCAAGAAGGTTAATTTCAATGTCAAGATTGTGTATAATGTGAAAGCTACTTGTATGTGTTTAAGTTATATTTTCGTTTTAATATGAATCATGTGATGATATTGGATTTTTCCATGTCGAAAAGATCCAGGCATATGATGTTGACATTTTCTGTATTTCAATTCAATCAATAAAATAAGTGAATTAGTTGTGGTTACAGCATTAAAATAGTTTTTAGCCGACACAAATCCTTTAATCCTTGGTCTTTAGTTTTAAAAAACTACATGAACTCCATAAAAAAAGAAAAAGAAAAAAAGTGGTAACTACCAATTTTTTCTGTCATAATTAGTAATTCAAACTATTTATAGAGTATTTAACATATTTTATTATGTTTTGTAATTATTTAAACAGTAAACATTAAATAATTGTGCTACTTTTAATATAAGGATTTTCTTAAGGCTTCTCCGTTTGTGGTCCTAGTCTGGTTGACTTTTTGGCTAATGTAATCAATAAAAGGAAAAAATATCTCCTCTCTTCCCCACATCATGTAACATTATGTGGTGGAAAATGCTTTTGAGGGATATGGGTATAGGATGGGATAAGGATTTGATGCAAAGTATAAATATTCTTTGAAGATATGCTACGTGACATGTGAAACATGAAGGTGAAAGAAATATAATTGCGATGAACTAAACTGGTTTGAAATTATCTTTTCAGAAAACGTCACATGTGAAGAATAGTGTATTTGAAAAAGTGTGTAAAATAAGGAAAACATAGGCTTGCATTTTTTTTATTCTTTTATTTTAATTTTTCATCATTTTTTATTTCTTTAATCATAATTATTTCCCATTTTTCATTCACGTAACTTTTTAATTACTTGAACTAAGTTATTTTGAATTATACATCCAATAATAATAATGGACATGTATTATTAACTTATATATAATAACATGTATAACTAAATAAAAATGTATACAAAATGTAATAAAGGTTAATATTTTTGTTCATATTTTTTTAGAAATACCTTTTGTGCACCTGAAAAAATTATAATATATATCACACGTTTGTTATCCTATACACTAAAAAAAAAAAAGGTTATGTAAAAATTCATAGATAATGTCATTTTATCTATGAGAAAAAAATTCATAAGTAATATTATTTTACTTATAGATTTTTTTCCATTATAGGTAATTATTCGTAGGTAATGCACTCGTTTGAATAAAATATTTTTATTTAGTACAACCCCTAGTTACTTTTTATTATTATCTAGAGTCTCCTCTCCTTTGTATTTTTATTATTTATTATACTTTTAGAAATTTGAATTATTATCTGATTAAGAGAATTATCGACAAACTTTATATTATATTTTCATTATTTATTATACTTTTAAAAGTTTGAATTATTATCCGATTAAGTGAATTATCGGGAAGGAATCAAACCTAGTACTTTAGAGTTTGAGGTTAAATACTTTAACCACTAAGCTTATTAGGATATTCTAATAATAACTTACAAATAATTTATATTTATATTTATCCGTGTAAATATATAAATATAAAAAAAATATATAAATATATTTATATTTTGATATATTTAAATAATTATATATTTATGTATTTATATATTTACATGCATATACATTTATTTGTAAATAAATATAACTTATTTGTAAGTTATTATAAAAAAATGTAGTTTAGTAGTTGGAGTATTAGTTTTTAATTTTAAAATATTGAGTTCGAATCCTTTCGGTCATAATTCTTTTAATAAATATATTATTATTTTTTAATTGATCAATTTGAAAATCAAGAACAAAATCAACTAAAATATTAATTATATATTTTAAATTAATTAACAACTATACTTATGAATATTGAAACACTTTTATATAATTTGATTGTACTATACTTATTTTGAAATTATATTTGTCAAAAGATAACAACAAATTTGTATCATAATTGTTAATTATAATATTATTTTCTTCAAAATATATTATAATAATACATGATTTATGAATAATAAGATGTTAAATTATGAATATGATAATAAATACTAAAATTAATAATAAATTTTCTTTATTAGTTGATTCAAATAAAATCATAAAATATTAATTTATCTTAGCTTAAATTTTATATTAAATTAAAACTAAAATAAATTACATTATTTTTTATTTTTTACTTTAAAGACATTTCAATTAAAACATTAAGAAAAAAAAACAAAAAAGAAAACTAAGTTACATGTATATTACTAATGGTGGCCACAACACTGAAACTTCTCTTATACGTATATCTAACGCTTATTCTAAAACGAGGAAAATAGCTCATTCTATAAAAAAACTCATAAAAAAATTATTATAGATTAAAATTAATGTATATATAAATTCGTTTGTATAAGTTCTCTTATATGATTTTTTAAAACTGATATTTTTAACTTATAATTAAATTAATTTTAACTAATGAAATCATTCATTTCATTTTTTTAATGTTTTTATTCTATAATTTTTTTACAAACGAAGATAATATAATTTAAATAAAAAATATTCCATCACAAGGATATTCTTATAGAAAAAATATTTTTCCAAAAACATTTTTATAAGATATTCTTTTTATTCTGTCATAGATAGCAACGATATATATTCCATCACAATTTTTAAATATTCAGTCACAAATAATAATGAAGTGGTTTGAGAAAGAGAATAAAAGATTTCCATTTGAAATTGTCATTAGCAAGATTTTGCATTCAAAAGAGTATGTTAACCACAAAAGTGATGCATAAGCATCTGCACTCCACCACCCCAGGGCTTTTTTGGCCAAGCCCCACTTATACATTATACCCTTTTTCTATTTGTATTTAATTATTTATCATTTAGCTTTTTCAAATTTCACTCTACAAGGTTTCAAATTTTTATATTTAGTGTTTATAAATGCGTCAAATATGTTATTAATTTTTTTTTAAATCTTAAACGATGTCTGAATATTTATATAATTTACAAAGATACATTTGTTCCTTTCATATTCAAAGATGAATTAATTATAATGGTGAGTTTGTGTATGTACATATGTAATATGCTTCTATTTGTTTAGTAAAGTCATGGTGAATGCAAAGAGTGGAATGTATCTTTTACATTTATTTATTCACATTAAGCATCCAAACAATTACTACATGATAATAGCATATGGACAAAGTAAACTAATTTCAATGTTCTTAAACTAAAAAAAATTATAATAATATAATTAAATATAAATTAATACTTTAGCATATTATGCTATATTTTAGTACAATTGATTATTAAATATGTACAATATATCAATATATCTCCCTGTACAACTATAAATACATTAGATGAACCTATAAGTGAAAACTTGATCCTATGATTTTGTATATACTGGGAGTTACATCTTGAGAGATTCTGCATTTTATAGTAGCTTTAATATGAGAGCTAAGTTTGAAAGGTTTTCACCACTTAAAAAGTAAGCAGAAATCATTATCAACATAAATAAAAATTCAAGTATTTTTTCATTAGAGAAATTTCACCAAGAAAATTTTACCTTTTTATTCATAAAGTTATTAGAAAGGCACCAAATTAGAAAGTAATATAGACCATGTCATTTCATTTAAAGGTAAAATATGTGGGAACATCATAATTACAATCCCCAAATTTCATATCAATAGAGATTTCATCAAGAGTTAATAAACTCATTTTCTTATCTAAAAGAAGGGATTAAATATTTGATGGATGGAACTCCTATTGGTGTGTAGAATATTATAATCATGATATTTTTAAAAACTTCACCGTTAAGCGAAGCCACAAAGTGTTTATTACTTTTAAGTTTAGGTGTCATTCTAATGAACTTATGACCAAATGTACGTTGTTTCTTGATTAAATTTTTCAACAAAAACTACTTGGATATTGATTTATTTATGATTTTTGGTTGCGCTTTAAAGATTTATTATTAGGAAATTGACCCAATATATTTAAAGTTGCATAATAAAAGGAAGAGTATTGATACATTTATATATTTAATGATTTATACTCCATTAGTGTTATAATTGTGATTAATTATATTAAATTATAATATAATACATTAAATTAAGAACGAAAACTGTTGAGAATGAATAATTTATTGATAAGGTGAATCATCCTATTTTTAAATTCCTGATCTTATGTAATAATAGTACACAAAATACCTAAGATTCGAACCTAAGACCTTAGAGTTAAAAACTCGATACTCCAACCACAAAGCTACTAAATTTTTTTAATAATATCTTATACATAAATTATATTTATATACAAATAAAAATGTATATTCATGTAAATATATAAATATAAAATAGATAAATACAAATACAAATATATTTATATGTTGGATGTGAGGACGCTGCTCGAGGATGAAAGTGCGTGTCAAGTGAATTTTCAAAATTTGATGTCAAATTTGTGAATGAGTCTCTTTATATGGATTATAACTTAATGACAAAATATAATCTTTATAATTTATTTATATAATGATATAAAATAATTTTTTTTATATCATTATATAAATTAATTATAAATATTATATTCTATATTATTATAAATAAATTATAAAAATTATATTCTATCATTAAATTACAAATTCATATAAAGAGACTAGCTCACAAATTTGACATCAAATTTTGAAAACCCACTTTACACACACTTTCACTCTCGAGCGCGCTGTCACGCCTTTGTTTCTCGAACTTGGTTGCGTGCGGCCTTAGCCTCTCGTGCCCTTCGCAACTAGCTAAGTCAGTCTCACCTCACTCGGGATCGTGCTCGGTGTGTGCAAGTGTTTTGGCTAAAGAAAGCGAGAAAAGAGAACTTGAAGGGAAAATGCTTCTATTACTCAAACTCTAGTACAAGTGAGCTCTCAAAGCTTGGATGAATTGCAAATGAGGGGGCCTCCTCTATTTATAGGCACCACCTCCTCTAAGAAACTCTCTAGATCCTACAAGGGTCTTGGTCTTTCTAGACCCTTCTACAAAAGTCTCTATCTATCTTCACATGTCCTAGAACCTTCTACATTACTCTCAAGATGATTTTTGTCCTTCCTACAAGTCTCTATAAGGTTCTAGGATGTTCTTGTCCCTACTACAAATATCTACATAATTCTAGAGCCTTCTAGAAGCTTCTAGTCAAGTCTAGGCCTTTCTAAAGGCTTCCATATACAAGTAACTAGGCTTAGTGCGAAAAAAAAGGCGAGTAAGACTCGTTTTTGCTCGTGTGCGTGCGGGAGTTACAGCTAGCTCTCACATCCAACATATAAATATATTTGTATTTATATATTTTATATTTATATATTTACATGGATATACATTTTTATTTGTATATAAATATAATTTATTTATAAGTTATTATTAGAAAATCCTAGTAGTTTAGTGATTAGAGTATTAGTCTTTAATTCTAAGGTACTTGGTTCGAATCTTAACTTTATAAAAAGACTTTCTATATGGGTTCATCTATCCTAGTTATATTTGTTTTCTTCTCATCATTCAACCATGATTAATCAACAAAAGCTAATAGCCCTATTGTTGAATACTATAAGGCAATCAAGCATATATATATATATATATACTAATATTTTAATTAAAGTTAAAGCTATTAATTTTTTTATTAAAACTACTAATTTTTTAACAGTACAAATCTACCAATTGGTTGATTCAAATCATATAAAGCAACCAATTCGTAATTTAAGTTTCCCAAGCTTCTTTCTAAACTTTTTGTTTTGGGGTGTATTTACTGAAACTATGTTATATAAAATCTCTTAAAATTCCATAAAGATAAATATACATTACATAACATTAATTTTATCTTAATATTGATGAAAATATATATAATACGAAATAACATAATAAAAATACAACACATTAGAACATGGTAATAGATAAATTATTTTAACATAAAAATACGACACAGTAGAAGATGATAATAGATAGAGTGCTGTGCAATTAACACGTATCGTGCTGTGTTGCGAACGACCATGCGAATCAGTATCTACGTATACAAATCCGAATTTGAATGGCTCAGATTCTATATAATATTCGTTATAATGTTGCTGATGATGATGTAATCCCTTACATCACTTGTAAGCCTTTGACCATGGAGTCTACTTCACATCCACGAAGCCTACTTCTTTTTAGTTTCTCGATTATTCTCATGCGCCATGTCTAGTTCTTTTCATTTCTACACATTAATTATAGTAATGTTTTTAGTACAAAAATTTATAACAAAAAGAAATAAAAGGAAGTTTTTTATAAGATTTTTAGCGTGGGAAAAAGATTAAAAATGTAATATTACAGAGTGTGTTAGCGTCTCTCTTCCGCTTTCCTGCTAGAGTGAATATTATATTATATTGAACTCATTTCCTAGCTCTATAAAGCCAGAAGCCTTACGAATCAGAGACCAAGATAAGCCTTAGAAGGTGTTTGTTCTAAGTCTTTGGGATTGAAGTGTTGAAATGGCTTCAAATCAGGAAGAGGTGACCCTTTTGGGGGTTATTGGAAGCCCGTTTGTTTGCAGGGTGAAGATAGCCCTAAAGTTGAAGGGAGTTGAATACAATTACGTGGAAGAAAATTTGGCCAACAAAAGTGAACTGCTGCTCAAATACAACCCTGTTCACAAGAAAGTTCCAGTCTTTGTGCACAATGGGAAGCCCTTAGCAGAGTCTCTTATCATTGTTGAGTACATTGATGAGACATGGAAAAACAACCCCATCTTGCCTTCTGATTCTTACCAAAGAGCCCTGGCTCGTTTTTGGTCCAAAGTCATAGATGACAAGGTAACCCCCATGTTTTCTTCTTTTCTTCCTTTGATCTGATCTGTCCCCTAAGCACCAGCTTTCATGACATCTGTTATTTAAGGAATTATTGTGACTGTGATTTTGTGGGGGGTTATTATGTGCCATATTTGTTTTTATATGCAAGTCTATGTAAATTCAGTTTGTACCACACAGGGACTAATAAATAGTGTGTTTGATGAAATCAGATTGTGGGTGCTTCATGGAAATCTGTTTTCACGGTTGATGAGAAAGAGCGTGAGAAGAATGTTGCAGAAACACATGAGGCTCTGGAGTTTCTTGAGAATGAGATAAAGGATAAGAAGTTCTTTGGAGGAGAGGAGCTGGGGTTGGTAGATATTGCTGCTGTCTATGTTGCATTTTGGATCCCTTTGGTTCAAGAAATAGCAGGGTTGGAGTTATTAACGAGTGAGAAATTTCCTAATCTCTACAAGTGGAGCCAAGAATTTGTGAACCATCCAATCGTCAAAGAAAGCCTTCCCCCTAGAGACCCAGTTTTTGCCTTTTTCAAAGGACGCTATGAAAGCCTTTTTGCTTCAAAATAGAGCTGATGAACAAAGGAAAATTGTGTGCACTTACTTGCTTGTCATTGAGTTGTTTCTGTTAGGATTTCGTTTCAATATTGTCTGAAGTTGTAATCTAGGATTTCTATATGTCAAACAAATAATCCAAGTTTGTTGTTGTGTTATTTTGCTATTTTAATAAATTATGCAGCATCTTTGTGTTCCTCAAATGTTATTGCTCCTGATGACATAGAATCTTGAACCAAGCTAGTGCTTTGCAATGATTGTGAATTTCTTGCCAGAATATGAAGAACATTGTGTATAATAATATTCTCGCACTAGACATGAATATGTCGTGATGGAGTACATATTTGGTTCGACATTGGATCAAGTAAAGTCAGACGTATATTCATGATTTATATCAAAATTGGAACATTTTGAGTAACTTACATCAGGTAAAACTAGACGCAACTAAAATTTAAGAAATTACTCAGATTAAGCACCCACCTGATGATGATAATGCAATTCCCAAGAGCTATTAAGCACCACAAAGTGAGTACTTCCATGCATAAGAAACTCTTCTAATTTAATAACATTTTATCTTGTAGTACTGAAAAAATGTTATCAAATGTCAATTGCGTATTAGTATTACATTCGGGTATCTTACATCAATTAATACACTATTAATAACTTTTTCTTACATTGTAACTTTTATTAATTGAACTGATCAATTATAATTATATATTATATCAATATCAAAATTTATAAAAGAAACAATAATTAAATAATTCAAATGATTATATATTTTAAGAACTATATTATATTATGTTAATTTTGATTTAATAAAATTTGTTTATTTCATCTCTCTTGGTCCTTGCTAATTAAAAAAAATCACTATTAAAAAATTTCCTCTTATTTTTCGTCCATTATAATCTTTCCTTAAACCAAAGAGAGCATTCAAGTTGAAGCGTGGAGGCTTTACTCACAATCTCACATCCAAATATATTAATTTACTGAACGCTCGAGTATTCATTTTCTCGTGTGTTTTAATCGATGAGTTCGGGTCTTTTTTTATATTTTGGTATCATATGAGTTTCAAGTCTTCAGAATTCAAATTTGGGTATTTGTACTCACACTATTATATGTTTTTAGTCACCTTTTATTCATTCTCAAAAAATGGGAGATAGCCCAAAAGAACTATGAAATGTAAAATGTTTATGCCTTCAAATTTTTAGGAGGACTTTATGTTTCAGTATTCTATTAACTTCTCGATCATTTAGAGATTAAAAATAAATTTGCTAAATTAAAAATAAAATATAGATTCAATTTTTAATACAATTTTATTATTTAATATTTGTTATATATATAGCAACAATTAAAATATTTTTTTATCATGAAATAGTTTATCTAGTGATATTTTACATGATAAAAAAGAAAATCTTTAATGAACTTACATATATGAAATGTACATTAAAACAATATTAATGTTTTATTAAGAAAGAACTCTTGTAAACACTCTAACCACAACTTCAAAGCTACAATACCTATAAAATTACATTACTTGGCATAGGTAAATTACAGTGGATGAAAAACATAATCATCATGAGAGTGGTATGTTCTCCCAAATTCTTCATCTGCTTAGTACTACTCCTTCACAATGATCACTGGGCATGGAGCATGTATCATCACAAAGTTGCTTACACTTCCCAATATCATCCTGTGTTTTTTTACCCCATCATACTCAAATAAATCAAAACAGTTAACAAATAAAGTGTCCTCACCACAATCACACAAACAATAATATTCAAGGCAGGTGTAGGCACCTTCGGATTGTGCTAAGACCTCTGCTTCCCATGACCAAAGAGTCCAGCTTTAGATCTTCAATGGAATCCAACACTTTCTCTCTTACATCACCCCAGTACAATTTTACGAGAGCGTTCACCTGCAAATCCTCAACCTCACCAACAAGCTCAAAATATCATGGGAATCACTAAGAATCTATGCCTAAAACCCACAGTACAAAGAAACTATAGTAAAACAGAGAAAAAGAATGGAAAAAACGAAACCTCTTTTTGTCTGGTGGCAGTGTCAAGCAAATCAAGGACCTCGGCATCACTTTGCACGCCATAGTTCTTCATAACCTCTGCCTCTCTGAACTCAGTCAAAGGAATAGGAGCTGCAAAGAGAACCAAGCATATCAAATCACATCCTACGAAAACAGAGGATGAGACATACTCATAAAGAAGCCAAATGAAAGATAGAAAATAAAATAAATAAAAGCCAATCACGAGAACCAGATTTGGACCACAACTTATTACGATCATCAGAGGAATAGGGGTTGACGTGGATGATGTACAAGGTGTGACCTTTATCAGCCAAGTTCTCAATTGCCCATTTGAGACCAATCTTGCTGTTCTTGGAGAAGTCCAATGCAACACCAACTTTCCTGTCCTTTACCATGCTTTCTTTCTTCCTCTGCTTTGTTGTTGAGTTTGAAGATTCAAAGCTGAAGAATGAAGAATTTGATAATAATAAAATGACACAAATTGCTGCATCTCACAGTAAAAATTGTTTTGTGATTTTTTTCTTTTTGTACGACGTTGATATAACATAATTTATTAACTATTTCCAAAATATAATTTTTTAATGAAAATAATATTAGAAAGAAGAGTCTTTTATGCGTTTACAAGAGTTTATTATACTGTTGCAATATCCCATTTTTAATAAAAGAACTATATCTTTTTTTAAACTATTAAATGATCCCTAATAATATAAAAAATGTTAAAAACAATCACAAGTTGCAGGTTGAACCACTCTACTCCGAAGTCAATATAGTGAGAGATATGTTCTATAGAAAACAAAAATAAAAGTCATACGAAATTTTGGACCTCTTTCCCATAATATATATATATATATATATATATATATATATATATATATATATATATATATATATATATATATATAAAAGTCGTACACCGAAGTCAAATTAGTCATGTCAAAATCATAATATATATATATATATATATATATATATATATATATATATATCTATATAAAATTAGTTTGTTGGTAGTAATATAAACCAAATTAGTAATCACTTAGCAATTATGAGAAATAAAGAAAATTATAAATTGTTAGAGCTTATTTAATGATCAAAATCATTAGATAAATATAAATTATTTCCTAAATTATCCTATTTATATATATTGGGCTCAATTTCGGCTGTTTTCTCCAAAAAGTATTCGTTGCCCACTTGGGCCTGCACCAGAGTAAATGGGCTTAATTTATTCATTGTCCTTGGTAGGCCGAATAAAAAGCTAAATAGCCCAACAGTCTTGAGACCAAACTCGAGAGTTTTTCTTATCGTTTTTAATGTTGAAGGTTCAAATTCAATTGAGCGACGTTGATCCAAAAATCACAGTTTTACTTATTTTGTATCTCCGTTACTTTTTCGTTAAATATTTAATCGATTTTATTAACATGTTATATGATCCACCGTCACAATTGTCATTTCAAAATTCATTGAATATTTTAACAAAAAAAAAAATGACAATAGAACCAAGTTCATACAGTTTTGATACGTGGAGATTTAGATCATATTACTGAAATTTAGAGGAAAAAAGGCATAACAATTACAATATTTGGAAATCTAAATTTACCTAATTTTAACTTCAAATATAAAAGTCTCACATTGTTGTAGGCAAAAGATTAAAAGCTGGATTATATGTTTCTTCTAATATTCGTCAAACTGGCGAGTTTTGTTGAATTTCTTTTGTGCAGCATTGCAGAGTGCGTTAGGATGTGAAACACTTTCAGACGTGGAAAGGAATATGCTAAAACAAGTGCAGTAGTGAGTCAAAGATCACATATGCAGTTTAGAAGATCTTGCATCTTTACCCGATATACCTATAATGTGGTATCACTTTGCATCTACAATCAGTCTTAATCTCTGCGAGGAATAACCCATTTATCAAAGTAGATGCAAGTTATGAATATATTCTATAGGTTAAAGATATTTTCCATCGATTTTAAGATATTCAATTTGTAAATTTTATTTTCTTAGTCTTTTTTTATTTTTTTTATTTCAATTTATTTAGGAACAAGAGTATCTTTGTTATGGTTAATTTTTGCGTATAAATATTATCTATTTTAAAGAATTTATTTATCATGATTTTATTTTTTAAAAATATCTACACGTTCTTAAATACACGTTGGTTGGTTGATGATCAATCAAATTAATGCATAATTTAGGGTGGCTAAAATTAGGCGGTGAATCGATTCGTCATTATGAAAATCGTGCATGGAATTTATCATATATAGTGTCTGAGATAGAAGGATATGAAGGCTTGTGCGGTAGCATATGAATTAGTGGTACACAACATGCAGTTGTTTATAAAAGAGAAAAAAAAAACAATGGAGGGTCCCAATTATGATAAGAATGTTCTGCACCGAAAATGAAGGATATAATCTGAATCACGAGGCCAAAATCTAAATGACGTCTTAACATATACTCTCCAAGATATTGACTTTTGCCCTCACAAAAACCCAATCAAATTCCAGCACAGTTGAAGATGAGGACAGATACTTAGTATGGAAGCAAAATGTTCTCTACCATCCTACTATAAGGTTTTATATTGTGTAACAAGTAACTATGGATTGGTATTTAAGAACTAAAAGGAACTCTCATATTTTTCATCACTTAGGCTTTCATTCTCTCAGATAAAATTGCATGTGATGGGCAATTTTTAAAAAACTTCATAGGTGCTGTTTGCTTATGTCAGACTATAAGAACTTTTCATTAAAATAAGTACTAACTATTATCTTTTGAAAATAAATTTCAAGTGATTCGTATTAGTATTGTAATATAACATATTGGTATCTGTTACCTCAAAAAAGGTAATTAAAAATCATAAAATAAGTATTATTCATGTGTCTTAAAATGGATATTAAGATGAAAATAGAATAATTTTTTTATATGAGAACTAAAATAAATAATTATATATTTTATAATTTGACAAATTTTGGGTTATGTATATATATGATACATAATTTAAATGTGTTAGGGCCATTATTTATTAAGCCAAATAATAAAGTGATATGACTAAATTAAAGTTTTGGCTAAAGACATATGTCATGAAAATAAAATTGTGTAGAGACCATAGAACAATTTCTAAATTGATGAGAGACCAAATTAGAAATACTAAAACTTAAGTAATTAACCTAATTCTGGTTATCTAAAGGATCATGATCTCCTTCTGGGAGCACACACATAAAACGTAAGTTTCATTCCTGTTCCTTTCTTTCTATCCCCATCAAGAGAGAAAATCAAGAGGGAAATACAAGTGTTCTTCACGTGGAAGACGATAAGATCAATATAGTGCTCTACAAAGACATCATCATTATGGCTAATTCAGGTACGCTTTCGCATTCAGTCTACAGCATGTTTATCAGTATGGGATTATGTTTATGTTTGATCGTTAGAATCAAAATCAGTATTATTATTATTATTGTTTTTCCATCAATTGGTATCAGAGCTACCCATATTTGATTCATGTCTGTTTAATTTATAGAACCCTAATTATGAAAATTAGGATTAATTTTGTTTTAAACAATTCAAATTACCCAATTTTATGAACCCTAAGTGGAGAATAATCTCTAATTTTCATGAATCCTAAAATTTAAATCTGGGGGTAACATCCCCAATCTGATTCTGCTTGCTGATGGAACCGTGGAGGAAGCTATGGATTCTTCTTCTTCTTCGTTTTTCCCTTTTGTTTCAGTTTAAGTTTCAACTTTTACTGAGAAAGAAATAATGTTTCAAATTTTAATCTTTCTTGTATTGGGTTCTTTGTTCTTTTTTGAATATTTTGTTTTTATTTAATTTTATGGGTTTGGAATTGGGGGTGGTGTTTGTGGAGTTCCCAACACAGAGAATCTTAGGTAAATGGTGAATGTTTCCACAAGTGTGACTGTTCTTATTTTTAGGAAAATTTGATGTTAAATTTCCTATTTAGGGTTTGAGTGATTACTGTTTAATCCCCTTTTAGGGTTTAGAGCAGTATGCTAAAGAGACTCAGAACTATCTCTGTTTCATCCCTAGTGTGATTTTAGAGAGATGTTCATCCTTTATGTATTGGTGAAAAATGAGGCCTTTTTTTTCATCCTTTGATTTGTTCAAATGAGGTGTTCATATCTAATGAGATTCTAGGGAGGTGTTCATCCTTAGTAGAATTCTAATGAGGTGATTCTCTTTTAAATTAGTTTGCAAATATTAAATATTTGGTTTTGTTGTATAAATAAAATATTCAATTTTTTGGTAGTTTAATATTTTTTGTGAGCAAATTGAGTCAAGAAGTCACCAAAGTAACCTCTCTTCAATTGGGCAGTTCATGAAAAAATATTGAATGTTAGTGTTTGTGTATATTCATTCAAGTATTAGTCGGCCCAAAGGAAGATTAATATTTGGTCGAATTGCATACACACTTGTAATGATAAACATGTGATAATTATAAGGATTTGCTTTGTCGATGATAAATTTAATCCAAAGACTGGTTTGTTGTTGGTCGTGCTTTATTGTCAATGTTTAATTATTACAACAAGATACCTCTAGCAGTTAATATTACTGTCCAAAGACTTGATATTGATGGTGCATTGTGTGTCTTGAGATGGGTTAAACCACTATTTGAATATATATTATTTATTTTTTATATAATGTGAGCATAATTAGTTTATTTCTCGTGTTCTAAATTCAGCTACAACTGCTTCTGTATCTGCCAATTTAAATTTTGTTCCGGTCCTCAATGGAACAAATTTTAAGGACTAGAAAGAGAACATTGATATTATTCTTGGTTGCATGGATATGGATCTTGCGTTAAGGACTGAGCAACCCCCTACTCCTTGTTAAGTGGTAAAAAGTTGATATAAGTATGTCTTGAATTGTTATAAAACTACTTAACTTATGTTAATTCTAATATATTTTTCTCCCAATATAGGATGAATTCGACAATACCTTGATACAAGAGTAAGGAGCATAATTGTCAGCATAATTGAAGTAAAATTGAAAGAAAGAAGAGCACTTAAGCGAATAAATGATGCGAGGCTCGACCTAAATTCTCTTATAAAAAGATAAGTTGTGTTTTGAGAAAAGCAAACAGTCTTGGAGGAGAGGAGACACGACTACTGTTAGGGTTTTGTCTAATCTTCATCAATTCTTCACTTCTTCATCAATTGGAGCATTGTAATGGCCAACATGAGTGGCTAACTTCATTCTCTTAGGATTCGGTGCACTTCCTTTGAACTTTTTTGTATCATGGTGATATTTTGAGATATTAATCTATGTTTTGATGTTGTTATTCTTATCCTTTATGCTTTGAAATGATTTATTTTTTATTGTTTGAGGTATGATTGGAAAATATATCTTGAACCCTAAATCATGGTAAGAATATTTGTTACGTTAA